TCTCCCGTCGCTGTACCCGACCAGAAGCGCGGGGGGGGGTGGGGGGGGAAGAGAGAAAGGGGGAAGGCGAAAAGAAAGAAAAACCACACTAAAAACCATAAAGTTAAAAAAAATATTCAACAAAGACATCTTCGTTTCGGTGCGGGTTTTTTTTTTTTTTTTTTTTTAACGAGCCGCCCGATCTACACACCCAGGCAGGGAGGAAATCCACCGCGAAGCGAGCCCCAAAATGGGGGAATTGCCAACCGGGTCCCCCCTTCCACCCCAACCAGACAAGAGGCAGAGAGGGAGGAGGAGGAGGAGAGGAGGAGGAAAGAAAAAAAAGAAGACGACGAAGAAAAAAAAAAGACCCAATCTCACTTGAACTCTGCTTTTTGCCATGATCTTCAGGGTGCTTGGCTTTTTCCCCCGCCTTGGTCTCTCGGAAAGACATCGCGCTGGGCGGCCGATCGTCTCCGGGCGGCGAAAGGCGAGCTCCCGTCTCACATGGGGCCGGTTACCGGCGCGGGCTGCCCGCCAGGCTCCTGCCTCCCGTTTTCGCGAGCCACCACATATTGTGTGTGTGCTCGCTGCTGGCGGCGGCCGGGATCCCACAATACACCGCTGCGAGCGCCGCGAACGCCTAACCGCGCTCCGCCGCCTGCACATTCACGGCGGCCGCGCCGCGCAGCCCCCGGCCCGCGGCCGCCCGCCGCCGCCCCGCCGCCGCCGAGCGCCGCCGCATGGGCCGCCGCCGGGACGCGCGGTTTTTTTTTCCCTCCCCGCCGCGGGGTTAACGGCATGCGGGGGGGCGAGTGGAATCTGCCCGCTGCATTTACCTTAGAGCAAACTGTTTCTAAACAAGATGGACCTATAGGTGGGACAAGTTGGTAGTTTTTTTCGCTTTTTTTCGTTGTTTTTTTTTTTTTTTTTAAGGGGAAGACTTCGGCGAGCCCGGGCGACCGCGGGGGCGGGTGGAGCGCGGACCCGCCGCGCTGCTGCGGCGGAGAGTGCGGGGGGGGCTGGCGGGAGGGGGGGTGGCAACACACGCAGAGGAGGGGGTGATAGAAGATGGGGGAGCAGCTTTGCTTATTAAAGGTCCGGAGCCCTCATCAGCCAATCAGCGGGGAGGTTCCATTTTGTTTTCGGTATTAAAGGCGGGCGGCGCGGTGCCCCCGGCGCTCGGCGGGCGCGGGGTTGGCTGGGGCGGCGGCAGCGCGGCGGGCGCAGCCAATGGGAGCGCGGCTTCCATGGGGCTTGAGTTATTAGACGGCGGGGTAAAAGCACCGCGCGGCAGAAGCCAAGGAGAGGCCGCGGGACCCGCAGCCATTTTTCTGCAGTGGAGCGAAATGGCCAACTGGGCTTTTCCTTTGTTCCATAAAGGGGGATCCGCCATGTGAATCCACACCACGCGGGGTGGTGGGAGCCTCTAGCACGGTGCCAGACGACTCACTGAAGAAGGAGGATTTAAATATATATATATATATATCTCAAACCCTTAACAAAAAAAAAAAAAAAAAAAAGTAATGCGGATTTTTTTTCACCCTTATGATTCGGGATCCATCTTTGTCTTGTGTAACTAGGTCATGGCACACCCTATGTCAGCAGTTAACAATTTCGAATGCCAACAAAAAAAGAGTAAATACATTCTTTTTATATTTTTTTGTTGTTTTGGGGGTTTTTAAGCTTTAAGCAGCTCTGATGACTGAACAATAAATGTGAGAGACTTCTCTCTTGTATTAAACACTTGATTCCTGGCCATTTTTATTAACTCCTTTGGTGCTTAAAAGGTAATGTTTTAAATATAGGTATAGGATTAGTGAATTCTGGCAAAAAATAAGGCAATTTTACTATGATAAGCTTTTTCTCTTTCTTTCCTCTTACGTTGTAAGTACCCAATCCATTCCGTCCTTGCTAAGTGTAGTTTTCATGTTAATGTTACTGAAGTGGTCCTTATTGCTAAGCCTTCATTTGCATGTCTTATGTTTTTGTCTGTTTAAACCAGTTTATGCTTTTTGAAATATTTTACTTATAAAGCGAACTATCTGACTAAGATATGCTTAAAAGTTGTTCAGCACCAGTAAATGTTAACTAGGTGTTTTCACACTGACATGTGCAGCCTAAAACTATTGAGGAGAGTATTTTTAGTGTCTGCGTGCTCTGTGGAAAAACACTGAACGTCCTTTTTATGTACAGAGTAAATCTGCCACAGGAAGGTAGATTTAAGCCTCGAGCAGGAGTCCTCGCCTGTGTACGGTCAGTCAACATAGCTGGACTTTTTCTATAGCTTTTTTTTCCCCCTTTTTTTCATCTTTTTTTGATGCTAGACCACTGCCACACAAAGATCCGTAACTTATCTTAACAAGATCCGCTTTGGCTCGCAAACTTACGAGAGAAGTGGTGATACAGATCATATATATACTTATAGCCATTATTTTAAAAAAGAGTAACAACTTCACCTTCAGAGCTGCATTCAACTATGGTGTGCGGGTAAGTAAACCCTTTTGCCCTTGCAGAGGAACAAATAGCCCAGGCCTGTAGCTAATGGTATTGTCCTGGGTGGAAAGATCCCAATGGTCGTCTGAAAGCGGTGGCGATCTTCTCCTCAGAAACATCTAACAGTGCCTCTGAAACGTCTGTTTTCAGGGAGGGATTTGATTTCTCTTTCTGCACAAAGCTCTTGGTCGTCCTCAGCCCTGGGTGGGTTTGGTTTTTTTTGGTGCGGAGAGACGCTGTGAATCCATTGCAGGCATTACGTGGCTGTTAAATTGAAAGCACAAAAAAAAAAAAAAAATCTGCCTGTGAACAGTAAGATGTTAGTGAGGTTGATGTTAAAAAAGGCGAGAAGGCGGTGGTGGTGGTAGGGATCCCTTACATGTTTTATCCGTCTAATTACAGAAGCTCGACAAAAAACAGGCAACAAAATGGGGGGGTGTTTTTCACGACGGTGAGTCTTAATGGCGGATGTCTCCCTAGAAAGCACTGTAAAATCCTTCATACCGAGAGGCAGTGACTTGGAGAGAGGGGGGAAAAAGGAGATCTGGAAGTATATCCAAAATGAGGGAGTTTCCTTCCAAGTGAGGGACCCTTTGCAGCCTGAGTGTTACAGATGGAGAGCCGTGACGCAGTTGATATTCACAGCGGTTGTGCTTTAGTGCCGCCACCCAGCCCACGAAAATGGCCTCCCCGCCGAATTCTGGTGGGTTTATTATGTGAAAGGCTGCGGCAGCACCGTGTCCCGGGCGGCGGGAGGAGCGGCCGGCGGCGGGCACGGCGCTCCCGGTCGTGCTCCGTGTTGTGTGAGGGCAGCCGCCATCATGGCTTCTCCTTCCCTTCGGCGCCGCGTTCTCCTCAGCGCTGGGCGGTGGCGCGGCGGGCTCTCCCCCCGCTGCCTCCCGGCGCTCCGCGTCCCGGGCGCTGCAGGGAAATGATGGGTTTGGGGTGTTGGGGTTTTTTTGGGGTTTTTTTTTTTTGGTTTTTTTTTTTTCCTTTCCCGCCCCCCTTCCCCCAGCGCTTTGTGAGGGGCTGTGGAAGGGCGAAGCTGGGCAGGGAGCGGCGGCTCTTTCTCCCCGCACACAACATGGCGGGAGCGCCCTGCGGCAGCGGGGCTGGCGGCGCTCCAGCCGGGCCGGGTGGGGGGGCGGCCGGCCGGGAGGACAAAGGCAGCTCGGATAATGCCGGCGCAGCCCCGGCTGCTATAAATAACACCGCCCTTCCCCCGCTGCAGCCTCCTGCTCTCTTTATAAACAGCAAGCCATGGAAGTCGCCTAATGCAGAGGGGGGAAAAAGAGGAACAAACAACAACACCCCCCTTCCCCACACGCATAAGGGGAAAAAAATAAAATGCACAAAAATATTAAATCCCCGGCAGTGTGGGGGACGGGGGGAACCAGCAGCGCTGGCCGCGGGAGGGGCCGGGCGGCGCCGCCACCTCCCCGCCCGGAGCGGGTGCGCCGGGGGGAGCGCGGCCGCCGCTCCCCGTCACATGGCTCTTTGTTGTTTTCCTTCTCTGCCTCTCCTGGGCTGTTCCCCCCTCCGCCATCACCCAGCCGGGGCAGCGCTGCCCTGCCTCCTCCGGCCTGCAGCGCCGAGCTCCCCGGGCCCGCTCGGGCAGGGCTGGCGCGGAGCCGGTGCCGCGCTGCAGTGGAGCCGCCATGGCCCGATGAGGTGTTACATGTGGCGTCTTTATTTTTTTCTTTTTTTTCTTTTTTTTTTTTCCTCCTTCTGATTTGTTTGGTTTTTTTTTTGTTTTTGGTTTTTTTTTTTTTTTTTTTTTTTTTTTCCCCCTTCTGTTTTTTTTGGTTTTTTTTTTTTTTTTTGGGTTTTTTTTTTTGTGGGATTTTTTTTTCCCCCGCGCAGCTTCTGCTGCAGCTCGCTTTGAGTGGAGGCTGAGGGTTATCTCGGAACTTCACAAGCCTCGCTGTGCTCTGCGGAAAATTGCAGCTTGTGCTCACTGCAGACCCAAGAGTAGGTGAGCCAGGAAAGCCTGGCTTGAGCAACCACTTCAGAGGGCAGGACAGGGAGGAAAAGCAAACACTGTAGAGAGGTGGCCTCCCTGGTAAGGCTAGAGCAGGACCGTCCTGCGGACTCTGAGGGAGGGAGAAGGTAAGTGGCTGCTTGGCAGAGGCTGTCTGCGGGAGCGGCATGTGCCGGGCAGGGTGCGCCCTGCCCGCAGCTCCTGCGGCTCAGCACCAGCCGCTCCGTGGGTTTGTACAACCTGTGCTGTGGTATGTGCCGAGGCTCAGGGCTGTTTCCCTGCGAGGGAGCAGGGTGCTGCCGCGAAGGAGGCACCGCAGCCCGCGCCTTTCGCAACAACTGCGCTCATCGCTCCATTCCTCGCTCCCCCCCTCGCTCCTCACCGGGTCAGCCTCTATGTCGAGAACAAGCGACAAACCGTCCGCACAAAACAGAACACGTTCCCATGGAGGGGGAGAAAACCAAACAAACCAACAACAAAACCAAAGCTCTTCCGCAGTGCCAGGCTGGCGTTGTAGCGCTGCGAGCCCTGTCGGGGGCTGCGGCGCTCGGAGCCGGGGCCGCCCGAGCCGCCGCTCGGTCCCTGCCCGGCCGGGAGCGCCGGGCCCGCGCTGGAGCCAGCCCTGAGCACCCGGCCCGGGTCACGGCGGCTCCCTGTGACCGTCTGCTGGCAAAATCGGAAGGAACGGTGACGTTGTTCTTAGCTGAACACCATTAAAATGCTCCTCTGGTATCTCTCAATAGAGGTGAAAAGCATTTCAGCTTCCTGGAAATGGCCGAAAGAGGCGACGTGTAGATCAAAGTACGGCGCAGAGCTGGGCTCGTGTTTGCAGGGGTTTTTGAACTGTAGTGAAAACGTTTCTGCAGCTTGCATCGTAATGAGTTAAGTCAGCACGTGAAGCGACTAAAAAAGGCATATTTAAACAGCATCGGGCTATTAACTTTCCTGGGATTTAAGATTTATGTTTAAATATATATTTGGCTGTTAGCAATACCAGCATTTAAACCGTAACGTTGATCTATCCAACCCTGAAGCAAACCAGCTCTGCCTAACGCAGCTTTGAAGCGACACAGCCAGACCATAATACTGTGGGAGCTTAGACAGCTTTGTCTGTACTTGCATCTCTCTGCATATTTTTCCAGGACTCTGATCTTTGTCTGCGATTAATCATTGTCCAGGACGGCTGTTCCCGGTGGTAGAATCCGTGAAGTGCTGCAGCTGGGAGAGGTCCTAACGCGTGTGCCTGGCGCTGCGTACGTGCAAACCAGGGCCAGAAATTGCTGGGGCAGCAGGCGCTGGACAGCGAGCCTGCCGTGCCGCCCCAGTGAGTTGTGTGAGTCCTCAGCACTTCTGGAAGTTGTTTTTGTAAGTCTGAGCCGAAAATTTCTTTCCGTTTTTT